TGATATGTGCTGAATCTGTTGTAGGGTAGCTATTGGCTCGACTTTCTGCTCGCGAATGTGGCTGTTGTGTGGCAATGGAGGTAGGTGCATGTTGGATGGGTGCTTTCTTAAACTCAGTTAACCTTTTACCCAAAGCCTCATAGTTAGCCATTTGAATTCGATACTCTGCCAATTGTGGATCTGCGGACTCAAAGGTAAGTGTGTCAGCTGACTTGCTCTCTGTGTTACTCTGCTGTACTACTGTGGCAGGTGAAGATGGCATTGATGTCAGTGTAACAACCTCACCCTCTGATACTACAGGCTGGCTGACTTCAGTAGCACGACTAGCAATAAGCCCAGTTATCACATCTTCCAAACACAACAAATAGGAAACTCCCTGGTCCTCTAATTCAAGCAGTGTTTGACAACTCAAATAAGTGCATATGTACTCAACACAACTCTCCTCATTCCCCTGGATGGCGCTTCCAGGATCCAGATCAGGAACTGGTGTGATGTTTCTGACAACTTGAAAGAGTTCCTCTGCTGTCAGAGTGTGAAGACTTTTCTTTATCTTCCACACCAGTTCTTTCCTTTCACCGTCATCCATGTCGTATTTCTCTGCTGGCAATGTCTCACAGTCCAATTATCTCGAGCAAGCAGTTCTGCACTCCTCCAGCTGGGGTCCCCCTCACACTCCCGTAGCTGCCTCAGTCACGCATCTGCCGCCCCACCATGCCGGTCCTGTGATGTCTGCCTTGGATTCGTAGATTAATGGATCAGCATCGCCTTGCATATGACACAGATCCCAGCTGTGCCTCCAAAATTATGTTACAGGCCTCAGGATGAGTTACCTGTTTGGTACAGGAAAGTACAGACAAGAGCCATCAGTTGTGTTCATCCAGCAGGCAGTCCTCTGTTTAAGAAACGGAAGCCTGACGCAGCTTACTACAACTAGTGCTCATCTCTAATGATACTCCCTCTTGTGGTGGAGTTGGGGAAACGCACCTTACTAAAACCCATATAGAAAACACATTTAAATCTGGTCTTTTCCATAGAAAAATACACAATAATTCAAACAACTCAACAATTGTGACCATACATTTGTGGGTGTCACACATACAGAACGTCCAGTGTTTTACTGTCTCTTGTAGGGCAGTTAACATACAGGTGGAATGAAGGTGAAGTTTTTTCCAGTGTGACATGGCTGAAGTCACCAGTGATTGCTATAAAAGCATTGGGATGATGAGTTTGAAGCCTTGTAACAGTGGAGTGAATGCTAGCTACAATCGCATCAGCTGATGGAGGAATGTAAACTCCCTCGGTAAATAATATGGGCACATTCCCACTGCTAGCAGTTTCACTCACATATAGTGCAATCCCTCCTCCCTTCTTCTTACCGCTCTGTATAACGTCCTTGTCCACTAGAACAGTAGTGAAGCCGGGTAACTCCATGCGATAGTCCGGGAAAGCCGAATGCAGCCATGGTTCGGTGAAACACAACAAGCTGCACTCACAGTATTCCCTCTGGGTCTTGATCAGCACGCTGAGCTCGTCCAGTTGACCAGGGGTCCTTCTGGTGCTTCCTATGGCGAGGAAGGTGATGCTGAACAGAGGGTGCAGCCAAATTGCTCTCCTGGTAGGGAAACAGAGGTGGTGGATAACCCAGAGAAGCCACAAAAGGGGACATACCTGTGGCCGTGTTGGTCAAAGAGTTATGGTAATATTCAATCCAGGTCAGGTGAGAACTCCAGGTGGATGGATTGGATGCTGAGATGCAATGAAGGGAATACTCCAGGTCCTGGTTAGCCCTCTCTGTTTGTCCATTGGTCTGTGGATGGAATCCAGACGATAAGCTGACCTTAGCTCCAAGGGCTTGGCAAAAAGCCTTCCACACATGAGAGGTGAACTGGGGACCCCTGTCAGAAACAATGTCAGCTGGTATGCCGTGTATTGTATGCTGTTCGCATTCTTTGTTCTTCTCGAACTGCTGCTACCTGTAGAAAAAAATTGTCGTCTTTCTTTGCCTGTGATAAGCTGGTTGAACCAGTTACATTAGCAGTTAAAAAGGCATTTGTTGTATTTGTATTTTAATGTATTTTAATGTATTTTAAAAAAATGTATAAGTTGAAACAACTTTCTCACTTTTTTGTTGGTCTGACATTAGTGGCAATCCAGCAGCATTTAGAATGGTCAGCAGAGTGTGAGGAAAGGGTTTTTTAGCTTGATGCTTCGCCCAGCCATACATCATGGCTTTAGCACATGCTTCCAAATCATCAACATTGCTTTATTTCCATAAGCTCATTTGGTTGCGTCTGTAACTCTGCTTGAAGCCTCGGCATATGTCACATTTTTAGCACTTTGTAACACCATTTCTCTCAATTCGTCAGAACCCCATTTGCTGCCTTTGCTCAGTCTGATTCCACATCGCTGATGAGCTACTGTTAACCACCTTTTCATACATTCCTTCATGTATCCAAAATTCCAAGAGGGTTTACCAACATTAGGATTAACATTCATCTAAGCCATCTGCAGCTTCTCTTTTTCAAACAACCCCTCATACGGCCATGCACCATCTGTCCATTCACACATTAACGAAGAAAAAGAGAAAACATGTTCTCATCCCTCCTGTCGACCAACAATTCTAGCCGGCATTTGTGGAGAAAACATTGCTTTAAAATGTGATGTGGGATCTGATGTGGGATATAATATGGGTGTGTGTGCACCTGCTTCAGCCTGTGGCTTATCAATGACAGGTTGACCTTTTTGTTCCACGCTATAATATTTTGTCTCAGATAAATAGTTACAATTTTTCATACATTTTTGTGAATTTGTTTGTTCAGTTATAGAATAACCTCCCCTCACTGCTTTGGACAATTTGTTACCCATTTTCACATGCACATTTAAGACATTATACATCAACATATATCAGTAAAACACTGCAGCAGCATCAAAGAGGTCACACTTTTCTTGTTAATATAATGGTCATGGTCTGAAGTCAAAAAATGGATGTACTCAGAAAGTATTTTGCCTAGTGTACACAATCTTAAAACTATCRGCGCCTAGACTCCGGGATCAGAAATCCGAATGGAGCCTCCACTTTTACCAAAGGACACAGAGTAGATAATCCCCAATATTGATTTAAATGAAATAGGCCTCTATGCACTACTTCAAAAACGTCTTTTCTATAGTTTAAACCTCAGGTGGGTCCCTCTGTGTTGGGTGCAGCCTGAAGCCACCCTGGAAAACAAAGCAGCCCTTTTAATGGCTCTGCGGGGGGATCAGAAACACACGACCCACATCTGTTTTGTTTTTTTTCTTTTTCTTCACCACCACGCACTTTGCTCTGTAACCCACTGTTACCAGCTTTCATTAATCAATCACATCTGTATTTTCTTTACATGTATTGAGTTCCATTTGTTTTGACCATTAATAGACACCGAAATTCTTGACCCTTCTGATTGAGTCAATTTTGACATTTCTTTTCAAGCCAATTGAAAAGTAACACAGAAAGCGTTCAGGATCCCTTTGACGTCTTACGATGAAATATTTATTGAAGCTTGGCCAAGGAGAAAATCAGAATTCACCCAAACAACATCTCTGCATGATGCTCTCTCATATTCGGAAATCGGCTTTCCTGCAGTCACACTTTAAACCCCAACAGATCATTTAATCTATGGGTCTGCTAAACAATCAAATGTATTTTCTAGTTCTGGAGACTGTATTGCCTGCTTACGCACTCCCTAGACATCATATCTGTGATGTCTAGGGACTGAAGCCTTTGACCTTCGCCAAGCTCTTGCACTTCCCAAACACAACAGCCTGCCGCACTATGCCCCAGAGAGGACAAGAGACAATGCCTATGAAAATTCCATAACAGTTTGCAAAAACAAATTGGAAGAAATTCTCTGTATTCAAAACAAAAATGGGAACTAAAATTGATTATTAAACTTTCAGAGAGTGGGTGGCATTACATGTGTAGAACTCATTAAACGTCCATCAGCTTCAAAGATGGAGGGAATTTGGCTGGAAGAATTTGATATGCTTCTTTACTACACCTCACATAAAAACTAAACAATCAGGTAAACAACAGACATGGTGGAGACTGTGTGGACAGCTGACTGCCCCTCAGTCACACCTTTTTTGTCATGTTAAAAAATTCAAACATTCTGGGACAGGGTAGTTCAGATTCTCGAGGAGATTTTATGTTAAAAGATTCCTGAGGCAGGATAGCTATGGCTTCAAAATCCTGATATATGTGTGTAAAAGGACCATCATATGGAGCTGGTTAAAATGTGACCATCCTCAATCTGGACAGTGGTAGGACATTGTAGAGGAAATATACTCTATGGAAAAATTTACTCATTTAAGGATTAAAGCAGGGCTCCAGGAACAACACTGGGGAAAATGGAATGAATACATACGGAAGAATGCATCGTGTTCTCAGCTGGTCTAAAAAGAGAGAGTGGTAACCCCCTCTCCATTTGTTTTTACTTTTGTTATTTGTAATTGTAAGGTCATTGTTGTTACATTATTGAGCCTTATTCAGTATATAATAAATAAAAGTAAAAAAGTTAGTTATGTATTGATATGTTGATATGATTCCAACAGTGCCATTGCATCTAAAATAGTCAGTTGGACACAAGACGCAACATAATTCTAAAGGTAGCACATGCTGTGTGTAATTATAAGAATACAAATAGAAATCCAGTTTGTATGGACTCATTGGGGAGGAAGGAAACAAGCTGGCTGATATGTATGCAAAAGGATGAACAAGGAAAAGAGATGTAGAAAAGTAGGAGACATGGGAACAGCCAACAGAGATACCACAGAAATCTAAAAACTCAGTCTAAAGGAACAGTGTAATATGAGGGTTTAATAGAAATCTTGGGATCCAGCTGATGCAGGACAGAGGGCGATACTCAGGTTTCTACAATACAGAGGACTCTACAATAGAAATAAGGTTAAAGTCCATTCTGACAGACACTCCTTTCCAGACAGTGGCGGTAATGCACAGATAAGTTGTTGCCAACCGCGTCAGAAGAAGAAGAAGAAGAAGAAGAAGAAAAAGAAGAGGAAGAAGAAGAAGAAGAAGAAGAAGAAAAAGAAGAAGAAGAAGATCATCAGTATTTCACAGTTAAGCTGCTGCACACAGTAACACCACAGCTGCGATAAAGAAACACAGGTATGTTAGCTGCTCTACCAAACACCGTACACATTCAGTCAGTGTGTTTGCCTCTGTGTGCAACGTTAGCGGGTCACTGTGCTAATCAAGCTAGCTTTGACAAAGAGCAGGCTAAAGTTTACAGCATGAAAACGCGTGTGACATGTTTGTGTCGTCAGTTTAATATAAGTCGTTGGATGACGACGTAACTATGAATGGTCTCTGAACAAGTGTTATAGCTTTTATTAATTGGTGAACATCAACCCGTTGTTTGTCTTGTAGCTGCACTGACAGTGTTTCCGTGAAGCTGCCGTTCGTGAGCTTTTTTATTGTTGCACTTCTCATATTGGCATTTGAGCGAAGTAATGTGGCTGTCAATAACTAAAGCCTTAACACTTACTTAATACTATTTCTTAAGTGCTTCTGCGTTGGATAAAGCTGGTGCTTGGATGAAACCTCTGCGGCGCAGTGTCTGTGTATCTTGTCAAGAGCGAGCTGTCAGGACAAAGGTGCTTCCACGTCTTCACATCAACAATAACACGCATTTATAGTACCTACAAAAGTTTTTACACCAGCCCAAGTTATCCTCAGTTCACCAGTTTCTCCGGTACTTGGCATGCTGGCTGTTTGGAGCATCTTTTTCTGTGTCAGTGCTGCTGTCTTTTAAGCTGTTTTCAGACATGAACTCCACATACTTGGGTCTGGAGTTTGCCTTTCTCACATGAACAACACAGCAGGAGATTCTATGCTCAGATATGTTCACAACAACACAGACATCTCAGAAACATTCAAGTGATGGCTCAGCAGGCAGAGGCAGGATGTAATGTGTAAATTCTGCTGTGAAGATCACTGTTGTTTGCTTACAGCACATCAACACCGGCATCAACCCTTATTACTAAAAGCTCTCTTGACATCTTCATCAGTGTCTTCTATGTGTATCCTGAAATATTTGTTTTCTTTATGTTTTTTAAATCTCCCTTAACATGTTAGAAACATGCCCTCTTGCTCTCCTGCTGTGTTCTCACATCGAGTGTTTACCAGGGGCCTGGTCGGTGAAACATGCATATTCCCCCTGCAGAAAATGTTCAGAGATATTCCAGGGTTTAGTGCATGTCTGAAAGCAGCTTTAATTTGATCACGTACTGACTCCATGACATTTAGAACAGGTTTCTGTCCAGAACCAGACCGTCTGTTAAACTTTCTTAGCATGTCAAACTTAAGCTCTGTTACTGTTACTATGCAACAGCTAAAGGGACGGGAGAAGCTGGTGATGCCAATCAGGAAAGCCTCTCTAGACCAGACATTCTCATTTTGGTTCGGTCTTCATGGTCTATGCGACCCACAAAGGGGGGCGGTCTTGGTGTCCTTAGAAGGATGCAGCCCCTAAATTGAGACACAGGAGCCTTGGAGCCTACATGCTTGGTTTACTCATTCAAACCTCCATTTTGTATTAATACACTGCTTATACATAAGTGAAAACTTTCAACTTAGTTCGAAATTCGTTCATCAAGATCTGATGTGTGATTTAAGTATTCCCTTAATCTTTTTGAGCAGTGTATATGCTTTCTTTCATGGATTTCTTAACCCAAGCTCAAGTGAGGATAACCTTGAGGACATTGCAATGACATTATGAGGATTACCCCTGAAATGGAACTGTATCAGGTTGGAAAGTAAACACGACCTAAGTAAACACCAATGCCAACTCAAAATGTTTTTTAGCTGCTAAGATCCCATTGTAAACAGAGTTAATTGTCTGTTAACTGAAGAGTCAGACCTCTTGCTGGTTGAGAAATAAGTGCTGAAAGAGCTATACCTACCTATGTGGAGTATCATTTGGTAATGGCTTGTTGCTCTCATCTTCCTTCTGGTGATCAAATGAAGTAAACATTTCTAATAATTAGTGTTGTAGTTCAGCAAAGTTCTGATAGCCAGACATGAAGTTCGTTCATATTCAGCCAGTTACATTTCTACATGCTAATGTTAGAAATCGGAAAAGAGGTTATGCCTGTACAGCATCACAGGGAAATCAAAAGCCAGAAGAATACTATTATGTTCACACAAAAGGAGATCAAAAATCAGGAAGACCCAATCCTATAAATTTGTCGATATTACACTGAATGTAGTTGCAATTACATGTAGCACTTTGTAGTTTGGCTTTTTTGAAGCTAATGTACCTACATGATTCTTGTTGTTCTGGGTTTGTACCCCATGGTTGAATTGACTTATTGTAAGTTGCTTTGGATAAAAACGTCAGCTAAATGATATGTAATGAATGAGATTTTCTGGTTTCTTTGTTGATCGATCTACTGTTAAAACAATCTCACCACTATTTAAGTGAATCAGAAACTAATAATCTAAAGTCTAGTTCTAGTTCTAAATGGTCTGACGTTATGTATAAGTTGGTTGTGTTTGTTCTGATACAAAAACTGCTGTGGTGTTATGTAGGGGTGAGGGAATTAATAATTTGTTTCGATGCATCACGATGTGGACGACTCTGCATCGATGCAAAGAAAGAACATTGATCAATGTTTTCCGCCATGTAAATTTTGTTAGCGATGTCTCACCACTCCATAATTATAATCGCCACTGCTTCAGGATCAGGACAGACGCACATTAAAGGTCTTTCCTGTCTAGGTATGCTCCCTCCACTCTTCTGCTCACTTTGCACTTTAACAATTTACACCAACACTAATCCAAAGTTATTAGGACCTGGACTTTTTTTTTGTTGATTTGCTTTAGCATTTATGAGGCATGTATTTAAACACCTGCACACTATGCGCACATAGTTCATCTGATACACACAACACAAGATGCGCACAGCCAGGACATCAGTTTTAAGGTGATCGTAACGATCCAGATTCATGATCTGACATCATAATAACTAAATACATGTGGATTAGTTTTTGTGAATGACAGAGATGGACACACAGAGTTTTGTTTAACTTATAATGCCTCATTTAACAAAGAACATACATTTTTATTCAGCAGGTTTTTATAAAGATCAGCTCTAAGTGTGGGTGATTAGTAAAGATCAGAGGAGCAGAATCTCTAGTTGACCAGCAGAGTAATGCATCTAGTGAAGATGCACACCTCTAGGAGTCCCACAGTGATAAAAGATTAATCATGTATTGAAATAAAATTATTTTTTGCATCGATAATCGTTTCATAATCGAGTCGTATCCCTCTGAATAGGAATCGAATCATGATGTGCCTAGAGATTCCCCCCCCCTTTTGTTATGGTGATGAGCTGCACAATGTCACTAATAGGTGCATTTTAAATGTTATGTGCGTTTGATGAAAGACAAAAGTGAAGTATTGCCTTGTTTATATTTCCTCATGGCGCCTTAGGGCAGCCTCTTCAGTTGGTAAGAAAAAAGTGAGGGGAGGTGACCTCAACTATGATATGTTAGATGAAGATGTTAGAATGACATGCTCACCCTGTGATACCCTGTATCCTTCTCCCACACTCCCATTAGCTTTTCTTCTTCTGTGATGCTGTGTCTAGAATGATGCTTGAGGAATAGATCCTCCAGGCTGGAGTAAGGTAAGGTAGTACTGATGGGTCCAAGGAGGAAGGCCTCTAAACTCCAGCCTGTTGGGGGCAGCGGTGGAGGGGAACTGGTCCACTGTCCCAGTGAGCCCAAGGACTACATCAACGAGCTGTCCCATGAAGTCCTCTGTCACATATTTAGGTACACCGTCCTCCAGCTCTACAATTCTATTTTGTACCTTAACATACATATATGGATAGAACTCCACAGTATGTGTTTTTATTATCATGCATTTTGCATGACCATTACCGTGAGTAAGATGTCAGCGGTTGCACTGTAGTTAAGCATGCTGTTTATATTTTACAGAGGAAAAAATCCAACACAGTTTGTAAATGTACCCTTTTAATGAAATGTCATAAAAAATCAAGGTACTCCATCATGCATATGCAAGTCATATAAAAAATTGCAGCAATGCTCAAACAACACCCAGAGGTTTTAGACAGAGCAATGTGACAGTATGAACAGTATCACAAAATCTCAAAATCCCTCATTATAAATATATAATATATATATAATAACCCTACTGTAGGTGAATTTGTACTGAAGAGTAAGCTGCAAAAGGTTTTGAATCTTTTAAAATTGTTTTGTTCTGTAGATACCTTCCCATGAAGGACATCATGTGTATGGAAAGTCTGTCCAGAAAGCTTCGAGAAGCTGTGACGTTGTACCTGCGAGTAGTAAAAGTAGTGGATCTTTGTGCTGGTCATTGGTGGGAGTATATGCCTTCAGGTAAGACCCCCTAATACAACCACTGCATCTGTGACACACAAATAGCTAAGATCATGTACAGATACAGGGTTATTGTTCCCTGAAATGAAAACTGTCCTAGACAATCTATCACTAACCAGCTATTCCAGTAACTGTGGTTCAGATATGCAGAACTGCTTCAGGTCAAAAATATTGTTATTGAAGTCTGGTGTTAATGTTTTTCTGAGCTCAGTCCACAGTAACTCTACTGGGTTAAGGTCTGAGCTCTGACTAGATTTCTTCAGCAGCTGGATTTTCCTTTTTTAAGTCATTCTTTACTTTAATGTTTAGGATCTACTGATCTTCAGCTGGTGGACAGGCGTTAGTCTCCAAGACACCTTAATAAACTTAGGGATTCATTTTTTCCCCTTGATGATGTGGAGCTGTCTAGGCACAGATGCAGGGGCTGTATAAGCTGTAAATGTGGAAATCAGTTAAACCAGTGATGGAACAGACTTTATCCACCCACCTTCTGAGTGCAAAGTCCATGTTATGTCCAATTGAGCCCATGTGCATACACATAAAGGGCTGCATCCAGTTGACACTAATATGCAAATATGATGTGATACGTAACAAATATGTTAATTAGGGCACCGCAATTATACAGTTTTCAACTATGTCGTCTATTAAACACATCGACCATGTGGTTTGACTATAACCTCAGTTTACTACTAGATAATTCAGAGTAGCTCTAACTCCAGTGTGGTTTCATTGACTGGATTCCAGGTTTTATAAATCCTGACATCAGTCAGCTTATATTGATGTTAGTTGAAGTTCACATACCGTTTACATACAAACCACAATGTCAATGTTTCAATTTTATTTACTATATGGAGGAGAACAATGATTTGTGTGGTATTAGTTCAAATATTGTGTTTGTCCATCATTGTAACTTTGAGGATTTGACCAGAGTTGAAGACAAATGTAAACATGAACACATGTTTATTTTGATTTCTGTTCTAGGCTTTACAGACGGCAGCTTTCTTCTTCTTTTAAAGAAGATACCAGATTTGGAACAGCTATATGGCCTACACCCTCGATACCTGGAGAAGAGAAGAGTTCGAGGCTATGAGGCTTTCAGTATACCAGGAGTCCTGGAGGCACTACAAGCTTGTCCCAATCTGCTGGTTAGTATGTGAAAATGATATCCCACTGATAGTGGAGGCAGTTATACATCACATTGATCAATGAGCATGCAGATTTTCAATTTAAACAACAATGGTACCAGATGATTCCACTGATTGTTTCCTCCTCTTTGGTTGTGGGTCTTTTCCTTTATACATTGAAATGAGGAGACATTTTAGAACATTATAAAATTAAGAATAAAATAGACATAGGTATGAAATAAGGGGGTAACAATTCTTACAAATAACTATACGTTTATAAAAAACAAATCTACATGTTTAACTACTAGGTACCTATTCCAATATTAAAGGGTATATATGACCTGCTGAAGTATAATTTGGATGTTTGGGAAGAAGGTGGAAAATGTATACCTCATTTGTTACCATTTAACTACTAGGTACATATCACTATTTAAATGTAGAGTATAACCATGAAACTGAGTCAAAATCTGAACCTTTTAGCGAAAATAGAGGGATGACTCTTCATCACAAATAGGGTTGCCACAAAAGTGAGTGTGACCGCTTTTACATGGTGTTCCGGCACATACTGATAACACAACTTGGGCACTCGCCAGACTAACTTGTTAATTTTGTTATAAGCATTAAACCTATTCTGTTAATTTGTTTGCATCAGTGGCAGTGCCAACAATAATTAAAACATTTCAAAATTTTAAAATATTTGTTATCAATGCTTGGTCTGATGCTGAGGTTGTGAACTGAAAGTGTGTCCTCCGTGCTGCAGGGTACAGAGTCAAATCACAGAGTAAAGGAGTCTTATCATGTGATGACAGTTGACCAACAAGAATGATGATGATTTGATGTTCAAGGACAGTTAAAACAGTAGGGATGTTTTAAAAATCCACTGGCTCACAGACAGACGTTTATTTAGAAGTGTTTATGAGAGACAGAGCAAGCAAGTGCCACTGTCTAGGTAATTAATGGGAAAACACTGCACACAACTTGAAGTGCACTACAGGAGTCAGGCTATGTGGTATTTTTGGTTCAAAACAACTGAGCACCTGTTGCAATGGAATTTGTACTTGTAGAAAGGAAGTTGTAGTTGTAGAAAATGGTAAAACATGTCAATCAGTAAATTTGAAGTCACAGAGAGTTTTAGGAGGCTGCAAACTTTCTTCTTCTACCACGAGTCAGACGTGATGTTTTTCCATGATGTCACTTTTGCACCATGTTTCTCAGTGAAAGTGGAGCAAAAGTGATTCGTGTATTTGTAAATCCTGGGGCGGGCTTTGTTCAGAGAACCCCATTGGTCAAAACAATTAGCTATTTTTGTCTTTGGGTTTCAAAGGTGGTTGTCACAGCAGCTTATATGCATTAGCACCACCATCATCCACAATACCAACTACAACCAATGTCATACCGCTCTCGCTCAGTTGGTCATAAATACCCTGTAATAACAGACTAGGTAGAAGTAATAAAAAATAAGTTATAGTAAAAGTTCTTAGTAATATTTCAAATTGTTACCCCCTCATTCTAAAACTTCCAACACACCAGTAACTTAATATATGTAGTCATACGTATTGCACAGATAACTTTTATGTTTTAAAGAAAATTGTCTGGTTGTGCTTAATTTTGGAATACTTTTTATTTGCACACATGCTTTGGATGACATTCTAGGAGACATCAATTTCGGTTAATTATGAAACTATTTAGGGACAAATTAGGCTATGGAGGGGTGCCACAGTCTAGGTAATTAATGGAAAACACTGGAGCTACATACAAAAACTGCAAGATTTGGTTGAATGAAAAAAAAAAGAAGCTTTTACGTGGAACTTTTAAAAAGAAAATTAATATTATTGGACCTCATGTCAGGGCGTGGAGACATCCCACCTGGAACTCGTGGAAGCCATATGGAACTATATGCCCCAAGTTCACATATTGGGAAAGTTCCGCAACCGCAACGGGGCTTTTCCGATTCCTGCTGAGAACAAATTGACCATCCCCATAACTGCAAAGATTCAGACTCTACATCTAGTGGGTGAGTAGGACATCATAAATTGATACTTCTACCTCTGCCTCCACATTACAGCTGAAATATGAAGCAGAAAACTGTAAAGCTCAGCTGTGAGTGCTGCTTAAGTTACAAGTATGAATTTTGACCCTGTTCTTAACCATGATTATGAATGGACAATTACATCCTAATTGGTGGCAGCTTGTCAATACAGGGACCTGTGTACAACATTTTGGACTTGTGGCTAAAAAGTCAGGTAAAAAGTAAGACAAAGGACATTCAAACACATATATAGGCTACACCTCCTTGAAAGTGGCCAATCAGAGACAAGAAACCAGAATTTTTCAGAGTTTTCCACTAATGTTTTTATGTTTCTACTCAGGTATTTAAGCCTTAAGTTATAACCTTTGGGGGGCTGTAGTCTCTTCTAATTATTTAAATGAAAATAAACTGTGGGTCTGAGAGCCTGATAGTTTCTTCTCTCTGATTGGCCACTTTTAATGAGGTGTAGCCTATATTTGTGTTTGAATGTCCCTTGTCTTACTTTTTACCTGATGATGGTCCACAGGTCCGAAATGTTGTACCTGAATAACGTTATTTTGCATGTACAGGAAAAAGTGCGGGACTCCTTTTGTCTCAAGATACTTTACCCAAAATTGCCCCTGATGGCTGTGCCGGCAGTGTGAATGATGTGCACATCGATGCACTGTGTGAATGTCCGTGTGAATGGCCAAACTGTCCTGTAAAGTGCTTTGAGTTGTCATCAAGACTAATCCTATATGAATACAGACAATTTACCATCTACATACACATACTGTATAGACATTGGACATATGTGTGCTCGGACTGGGTAAAAAACATAATTTGGTCTTTGCAAAAATAAATGATGTGCAAGGTTATTTCTGTATAGAGCAGGTGAATGAGATCTAAACATCAGTGGTCACAGGAGACACATACAGAATGCATTTTAATGCTAGGTGTGATCATATAAATTTAGAGCTCTCCAGTTGTATATATATTATATATATTTACAACAGTTGCACATGCACTAAACAGGGTCTGAAAGATGCGTACGCCACTTCTAGCACAAGCGTTTGGATCTGTAAAAACAAACTTGACGAGAAAATGTGTGCATTTGTGCAGACACGTTGACCCATGCATATGAACATTTTGGACACGTGAGAGTGGAGATGAAGACAAGAGGTATTGAATCCACTATTATAAATATTAAAATCATCCGTGGTTTTTGTGCTTGTGAGGTGTTCCATTAGCACACTTGTAAAAGATATGCTAACTTGAAGCAAATCATAGTCACACAACATTAAATAGGCTTACAAAGCACCCTTATACAAGATATAAGGCAACTTGAAGCAAATTACACTCCAATACCATTAAATAGAAGAAACCAAATATATTTTACAATATCTTCCAAAACTGTGCATGTATTACCAAGTATGACTTTAGTATTCATGTAGTTTGTGTATAAAATTACTGCAGGGAACGTGACTGTGCGCTCAGGTGCACAGAATGCACTAGAGACCACTTAAAAAATAAACTGTGTACACCTTCAAACTCTAATTTCTTAATGACATCCCAGGGTGGAGGTTATGATGCCACTGATTGTTGTGATCAATTTGGAATGGTATGACTTTGCTGTTAACATAAATACTGCAGTGACACTAGGGGTGTGCGATATTTATCGTTTAAGATAATATCTTAATTGTTGTTTTAACGATGTGTGAGCTCACGTTATCGAGTATTGGGTAGAGCCACATGGTGCATGCGCCACTCTCAACCAACCCTGTGAGGGAGAGCCAGGCGCCTCGCACGAGCTGGCAAACAGAGTGAGCGCTCCTCTCCACAAGCCCAGTATTTGATGACAATAAATCATTTTTTCCAGTGTTCTAGAGATCACAGAGCCTGCCTTCTCATTTACGGTGTGTGTGCGTGGGTCTCTCAGCCTTTTCCCTCCCTCCCTCTGGCCCGGCCAGGCTCCACCAGCAGTCTAATTATCGTTATTGGCAAAATCTCAGAAAATATCGAGATTTTTTTGTCGGACACCCCAAGTGACACTTGTAATGCTGCATGGTGGATGCAATGGCACTGATCGAGGAGTATGCAAATAGAAGGATGAAATGAGCAACTAACTTTATCTATCCCATTGAAATAACTGACTCATCTGGTGATTTTGATTCTCTTCAGCTGTGATCTTTGTGAAAAGTTGTCCTTCGTCTTGTCATCATCTTGTTCCTTGAAGCAGTGATTTACCATAAGAAACCATTAAACATTAATGAGGTATATTGCATTGACCATTTATGGTCGATTGTGGGTATGTAGGGGGCGTGACATGAGGCAGATATGCATGTTTCCATGGCCTTCAGGTGTGTGTGTACAATGGTAATTATTTGGCTTTTGTCTGCCTGTACACTTTTATTATGAATCCTACGGTGGTTTTATAAATGAGGCCTTAGATCTGAACAGGGCCTCTGTGACCTATATTAAGGATGTTATGGCCACTCAAGACCCCCAAGAGGTTTGTAACATGTGACAAATAAATAGAGAAAAAAAATGTCTCGGGAGGAAAAGCCGTGCCACAGAAGTAGAAGACACAGACAATGCCAAGAAATCTTTTAGTAATAAGCAGTAGCTCAGTTGGGGCAGCAGTAGCTCAGTCCATAAAGATTTGGCTTGGGAACCGGAGGGTGGCAGTTTCAAGTCCAGCATGGACCATAAGTATGGAAGCTGGACTGTTAGCTGGAGAGGTG